TATAGACTAGACTAGACTAGACTATAGACTAGACTATAGACTAGACTATAGACTAGACTATAGACTAGACTATAGACTAGACTATAGACTAGACTATAGACTAGACTATAGTCTAGACTATAGACTAGACTATAGACTAGACTATAGACTTGACTATAGACTAGACTATAGACTAGACTATAGACTAGACTATAGTCTAGACTATAGACTAGACTATAGACTAGACTATAGACTTGACTATAGACTAGACTATAGACCAGACTATAGCGCAGACTATATAGACCAGAACATATAGACCAGACTATATAGACCAGACTTTAGAGCAGACTATATACCGGACTATAGTCCATACTATAGGCTAGACATAAGGTTATACGATAGACTCTCGTGTTAACATTTATCTTTAAGCTAAAAGTGTTAACTAGTTTGTAATTGCACAGTGTTTTTCGCGTGTCCTTGAAAGAGGCTAGTATTCGTTTGGAAGCCAATCGTTAAGTAGTTGCTATAATGGTTTCAAAATTGTCTTCTATTGAACAGCTATTGATAAAAGTTTGGTTTGGTTTGGATTTTAAACATTTTTATAAACATTTTTGAAAACAAACTAACAAAATTATCCTTTTTATGAGACACTTAAAACCTCAATTAACCATGAGAACCAATTCTCGTAACAAAAAAATCAAATCAAACAAATATTTCTATAATTTGAAATAACAAAAATTGTTGTTCGCTAACAAACAAACAATAAACAGCAACATTATAAACTAGTGCAAACTACACTTTTTGAACAAACAACAACAGCAACAAGTTAAAATGATTTTACAACAAAAAATTCTATTTTGACATTGTATGGTTTGTTACATGTCATGTGTTACATATGTGTGCACAATATTGTACAAGTCCGTCTGTTTATCTCACTAAACGTCCGTCCGTCTATATGTATGTCTCTCTGTCTGTCTTTTTGCTGGCATCATCAAGCAAATAAACGATGTCTTCGGTAAATGAATAGAGTAAAAAAAAACTAATATCAAAATTGTATAAAAAAACGTAAGCCTGGTTGTATAACATGACATTAATGCAGAAAATCCACTTTTTTCAAGTTGCAATTGCTGTTGTATTTGTCTTCTTGTAACACACTTGAAAAATATAAAAACAGATAGACAGACGGACAGACAGGCAGACAGACAGAGTCATATGAAGTATGTGTGTCTCAGTGAACAAGACACAAAAGAGGTGTAAGTGTATGAGCATAATTGTAACGTTTGTCAGTTTATTGTTGGTGTTGTTGTTGTTGTTGCTGTCGTTTCATGTAAGAAACTAGGTGATCTAAAGCACTGATTAAATTTGCAACATGCAACATAAGCAAAAATGACAAACACCACTGACAACAGCAACCAACCAACAACAACAACGGCAACAGAAACAGCATCAACATCAGCAGTAAACACTAAACTAAACATTATAAACACTACAATATGACAAATGAAACTGAAACAATGTTTTTCTTTCGAAAAAAACGAAAGACTTAAGACAAAAGTGTTACATGAAAAACACCAAAAAAAAGTGAAAAAATAACACTTTAACACTAATCCCCAAAAATAGTTAGTGGGTGGTTGGTTAGTTGTGCCACAAGAGAAAAAAAATACTTCAACATAAAAGTTAACAGGAATAACTTGCAAAAAAGCAAATACTTATGTTTTCATGAATATTACTTTTTTGTTATTTCAGTTATTGTGTTAATTTTTTCCATTGTTTTTTTTTTCTTAAAGCTCCATCTCTTAATTATATTTTTAAGCGTGTGACATTTTTTTTGTTCATTTACAACAAAACAAACAAACACACATTTAGCCAATTATCATTTAAGTGGTAATTACTTAACACAGACAGCGGCTTTTAGTGTTTTGTAAAACCTTTTATAGTCAACACCACCAAGTGCGTGCTTTGCACAACATAATAATTAATTATTTAATGTTGAACAAATATGGCAAAAATGTATTAATTAGTATCAAATTATGGTCAAAGTTATGTGTTCGTTCGTTTTTGTATGCATGTCGTTTAAAACAAAAATTGTTAAAAGCAGCAGAAGCAAAAAAATAAAAAAAATAAAATACTATGCAAGTGAACATTGTTGGCAAAAATACCTTGAAATTCCGTTTAGAAAAATAAGGAAAATTTCCCACGACTTTCAGCTTACAAGAAGTTTAACAATTTAGAACATTAAAGTGTATGTGTTTTTTCATTTTTCCTAGCTTAAAGTTTAGTTTACTTTTGCTATGTTTTTTTTTTTGGATTTTTTAGTTTTTTCTTTTTTTTATGTGTTATTAATGAAAATTTATGTTAGTTAAAGAATTTTTATGACAGTTTTATTAACATTAGGTGTATATGTTGTTGTTGGCTGGGTTAATTTATAGAAATTATGTTTTTTAAAGAAAAGTTTGTGTCTTAAGTTTTTTGTTTTGGAGTGTAAGATGAAAAGTTTATGAAGATGATCTAATTTTGATATCGTAAATAAGTGTCTATGGTTTCTTTAATAGAAAAGTGGTTTTTCATGGTTTAATTTTTTTTAAGTTTGTGTCTTAAGTCTTTTGTTTTTATGAGTATTAATTGCATTTATTTTAAATAAAGTTAAGCTGGTTAAACATTACAGAATTCTATTATAAGTTTATGCTTTCAATCCATTTAATCATTTTAAAATGAATTCATCAGTTTTTTTAATCTTTATATCTGAATTGCTGTATTTGGAAACACTTGCCTTTGTCGACTTCAACATCTAGTAATTTAGCGTTATTGTTGTTGTTTTCAATCGTTAACAAGCAAACAAAATGTACACACATACATACGCAAACACAATATGTAAGTTGTTGCTGTTTTCTTGCTTATAAATGCTAAAATATCTCTTTTTGACGAAATTTTCAGAAGTTGTCGCGGATTTGTGCTTATATCTCCTTTATTTATTGACCGAACATATGCTAAACGTTGTTATTGTTGTTGTTTTCCATCGTTAACAAGCGAACACAATGCACACACATACATACGCAATCACAATCTGTTAGTTGTTGTTGTTGTTTTTTTTGCGTCTAAATGCAAAAAATCTCCTTTTTGACGAAATTTTCAGAGGTTGTCTCAGATTTTTGCTTATATCTCCGTTGTTTATTGACCGAACATATGCTAAACGTTGATGTTGTTGTTGTTTTCCATTTTCAATCTGTTAGTTGTTGTTGGTGTTTTGTTGCGTTTGCATGCAAAAAGTCTCTTTTTAGACGAAATTTTGAGAGATTTTGCTCATATCTCCGTTACTTACGGACCTATTTTGCTGTTTTAAATACTTCTCGAAAGTATGTCTGATAGAAATATCTATGATTCAGATCCCAAAGATGACTGGTTTCTTTAGAAAATTTATTACAAGAGACAGAGAAACGGGCAGACAGATATACAAACAGACAGACAGACAAACTGGCAGACAAACAGGCAGACAGACAGACAGACAGACAGACAGACAGACAGACAGACAGACAGACAGACAGACAGACAGACAGACAGACTGACAGACAGACAGACAGACAGACTGACTGACTGACTGACTGACTGACTGACTGACTGACTGACTGACTGACTGACTGACTGACTGACTGACAGACAGACAGACAAACAGGCAGAAATATGTATCTTACTCTACTCCGTTTATATTTGGCACTTTCTTCAACTTTTAGGAGAAAAACTTTGTACTTCTACTTAAGTTTTTGAAATAAATTGAAGAACGAATAACGATTTGTTACGATTAGTTGGCTAATAAGTACTTTTCCAAAGCAAAAGTACTTTTAAGCAAATGAAAGTTAATTAGTATTCTTTTTTACGAATTGATATCGTATTTTATTTCTTCATAAAAACAATTACCCAAACAAAAGGGGACAAAAAAGGTACCACCATGAAGAAAAGTTTTAAATTGTATTTTTTTTTATCGAAATTGAATAGATAATTAATACTTGTTACGATTATTTGGCTAATAAGTAATTCAATAAAAATAAAAAAATAGTAAACAATTTGGTACTTTTTCCAAAGAAAAAGTGCTTTACAGCAAATTAAAGCTATTTAGTTATAATTTCTACAAATACATATCGTATTATTATTCGTCAGAAAAAAGCTTTTCCCAAAACAAGCTAGAAGGATTCTCTACTAATATAAAGTTAATAAAAAGGGACAAAAAATGTACCAAAATAGGGAAAAAGTGAAAGATAGACGGACTAAAAAGGTACAAATATTTGGATACCATTTGAAGGAAAGGTACTGCTTAGCATATAAAAGCAGTCTGACACTCTTTTTTACGTTAATGTTCTGCATAAAAAGTACTATTCAAAATCAACCAGAAAGGTGGGAGAAAAAAAGGACCAAAGAAGCTGAAGAGGACCAAAATGGCGATAAAAAAGGACCAATATAGGATTTTAGTTTAAAATAATTACTCAAATATCTTCTATACAAATGAAAACAGATTTGTACTCTTTTTCATGAAAAGTAAAAAGGAATGATAAGCACTCAATACCAAAAGGGAGGAAAAAGAACCAAAAGAGATGAAAAGGACAGAAAGGTGGACAACAAAAGAACAGTAGGATTTTGCTTTAAATTAAGTGAAAATAGAGGGACGGAAGAGGTTAAAGATTGGGTACCTTTTTAAGGAAAAGTACTTCTTAACATATAAGATCGCTCTTTCCTGCGTTAATATTCGCCATAAAAACTTTTATTCAAAATCAAGCCTGAAGTCGAGATGGACTAAAAGGACCAACAAATCCTAAAATGACCGAAAGGAGGACAAAATAGGATTTCGCTTTTAATTAAAAAACCAATAAAATTATTTTATGTTTAAGACGGGAAAAAAGGAGGTCTGGAATTAAAAGTTAATAAACCTAGTTCCCCTGGAAAAATATGAATCAAGATAAAATTTTCACTTCAAATAGTAGTGTTTTATAATCGTGTTAGATTCCCCTTATCCATTTTCCCCTTTAACTTACCCACATAATCACAGTGATGTATACGTCTCTTCTCCAACTCGGGATTATTGCGACGATTATAGCGAACCGAACGCACAGATGGCACAATTAAGTTGGCCAAATGAGCCGGTGTAGCAGAGGCAGATGATGACGTAGTTGATGCTGAATGACCACCGCCCCTTGTCGTTGAGCTAATAGTGCTAGAGTTGTTGTTGGTAGATGAATTTGAATGATTTGCTGCTGCTGCTGCTGAATTGCTATTGGCTGATGAATTAACCAACAACTGAGCACCTGTTTGGCCCAATGTAGTTAGAGAACGACCCGGACTCATAAGATGGCCCACAGCAGTGGGAGAACTAGAATGCAGTGTTATAATGTTGGGGCAGATGGCGGAAAGTGGATGACCCTGTTGTTGTTGTTGTTGAAGCTGTTGCTGCTGATAAGGTGGTGGTGGGGTAGAACGTCTATTATTTTGCTGTTGTTGTTGCTGCTGATGCTGGTGTTGATGTTGAGCTTGAGCATGTGCGGCTGCTGCTGCCATTGAACTACCCGGACTTCCGGGATCAGAACTGGGAGGTGTTAGTGGCGGCACAAACATATGCCTTGAACTACTATTATTGCTGGCCGCACTGCCACTACTACTGGTTTGTGATTGTGCGGTTGGTATTAGAGCAGGTGGACATAATTGTGCATTTTGTAGATGATGAGGTGGTGGCGGCGGTGGAGCGGGTATTTGGTATTTACTATGAAAAGGCTATTAAAACATATTGGAGAAAAAAAAAACAAAATAAAAACAACATAATAATATTACGTCAATAAAATATAAAATACATTTAATATATTGGATTTAAAATGAAAAAAAGTTAAAGCTTTAATCAAGACAACTTATTTATTTTTTTTTTTTTCATTTTTTTGCTCACAACTATGAATAATGATAATAAAAAAATGCAATTAAATAAATATTTCATTTTGGGCTACAAAACATAAAACTAACCTGACTGCTATGCCATGGATATGTTGTAGTGGTTGCAGCAGTTGTATAATTATTATTATTATTACTACTATTGTTGTTATTATTGTTGAGATTTTTAAGATTTTGTAAGGCGACTGTGGCGGAATTCTGAGACCCAATTGTTGGTGTTGTAGTATTAGCTAAAGGTGTTAGATGGTGTTGATGTTGCTGCTGTTGTGGTGGCTGCTGCTGCTGATGGTGATGATGATGATGTAGTGATGAAGTAGTATTTTGAGCCAGTTGTGTTGTTGTATTGGTATTTATACTTAAACTATCATTTAAATAATTATTATGACCATATTGCTGATAGGCGTTCACATGATCTGCCGTTGAACCATTTAAACTTAATAAATTTGTTGTTTCGGCATTAAGAGCAACATCTGCATTGTGACTACTAGCGGTACTGCTACAACGATTTGAGGGACTATTACTATTGCTGTGCAACAATAAATTCTGTTGCTGCTGTTGTTGTTGTTGTTGATGCTGCAGCGCATGTGTATGGCTATGAGGATGGGTGTGAGAGTTTAAATTGGTGAACATGGTTGTCAAATGATGTTCTTCCGTTAAGCTAGGATGATGCTGATATAAATGTTGTGATTGCTGTAAATGATGATGATGATGTTGATGGTGATGCGCTTGTTGCTGCTGTAAATGTTGAGGTTGTTGTAAAAGTTGTTGTTGTTGTTGCAGATGATGATGATGCTGAGGATGATGTTGATGATGTGTTTGATGTTGTGAGTGTAGTGAATGATGTTGCTGCTGATATGATTGTTGTTGTGGTGTTTGATGCTGCTGCTGTTGCCCGTAATAGTGATGCGTGGGTGTTTGTTGTGGTGTCAACGGTTGCATGGTCAGACTGTTGGTAACATTTTCTTTTTTTATCTCCAAAGGACTGAGCAATGGTGTCGATAATGTCTCTAGCAGAGTATCATCAATTGCTTCCATTTTCACTTGCGTTAACAATGCACTGCCCGTGGGCGTTGTTGAATTTTGGTTTTGCTGTTGTTGATGCGCATGCATTGTATTTGGATTTGAGCCTAGTATAGGAGCATTTTCAGGATCGATATTTTGTATTGAGCTAGCTATTTCTTCCCATAAGGCTGGGCGTCCATAGGGATCATCAATATTGTGATAGGGATTACAGAGAGCCTCTTTATTTTTGGTGTCTGGAAAGAAATGCGAAAAATAATAATTATAGTAAGTTTGTGTCTTAAGTCTTTCGTTTTTATATTGATCCTCATTATTTCTTATTTAATTTAAACTTAGTTTTCACAATTAACCACTAATAGTCTAAAGTCTATAGTTTATTCTATAATGTAGTCTATAGTCTAGTCTATAGCCTAGTCAATAGTCTAAAGTCTATAGTTTATTCTGTAATGTAGTCTATAGTCTAGTCTATAGTCTGGTCTATAGTCTAGTCTATAGTCTGGTCTATAGTCTAGTCTATAGTCTGGTCTATAGTCTAGTCTATAGTCTGGTCTATAGTCTAGTCTATAGTCTGGTCTATAGTCTAGTCTATAGTCTGGTCTATAGTCTAGTCTATAGTCTAGTCTATAGTCTAGTCTAGCCTAGTCTATAGTCTAGTCTATGGTCTAGTCTATAGTCGAGTCTATGGTCTAGTCTATAGTCCCGTCTATAGTCTTTAGTCTAGTCTATAGTCTAGTCTATAGTCTAGTCTATTGCCTAGTCTAAAGTCTAGTTTATAGTCTAGTTTCTAGTCTAGTTTATAGTCTAGTTTATAGTCTAGTCTATAGTCTAGTCTATAGTCTAGTCTATAGTCTAGTCTATAGTCTAGTCTATAGTCTAGTCCGTAGTCTAGTCTATAGTCTAGTCTATAGTCTAGTCCATAGTCTAGTCTATAGTCCAGTCTATAGTCTAGTCTAGTCTATAGTCTAGTCTATAGTCTAGTCTATAGTCTAGTCTATAGTCTAGTCTATAGACTAGTCTATAGTCTAGTCTATAGTCTAGTCTATAGTCTAGTCTATAGTCTAGTCTATAATCTAGTCTATATTCTACTCTATAGTCTTGTCTATAGTCTAGTCTATAGTCCAGTCTATAGTCTAGTCTATAGTCTAGTCTGTAGTCTAGTCTATAGTCTAGTCTGTAGTCTAGTCTATAGTCGAGTTTATAGTCCAGTCTATAGTCTAGTCTATAGTCTAGTCTATAGTCTAGTCTATAGTCTAGTCTATAGTCTAGTCTATGGTCTAGTCTATAGTCTAGTCTATAGTCTAGTCTATAGTCTAGTCTATAGTCTAGTCTATAGTCTAGTCTATAGTCTAGTCTATAATCTAGTCTATAGTCTAGTCTATAGTCTAGTCTATAGTCTAGTCTATAGTCTAGTCTATAGTCTAGTCTAGTCTATAGTCTAGTCTATAGTCTAGTTTATAGTCTAGTTTATAGTCCAGTCTATAGTCTAGTCTATAGTCTAGTCTATAGTCTAGTCTATAGTCTAGTCTATAGTCTAGTCTATAGTCTAGTCTATGGTCTAGTCTATAGTCTATTCTATAGTCTAGTCTATAGTCTAGTCTATAGTCTAGTCTATAGTCTAGTCTATAGTCTAGTCTATAGTCTAGTCTATAGTCTATTCTATAGTCTAGTCTATAGTCTAGTCTATAGTCTAGTCCATAGTCTAGTCTATAGTATAGTCTATAGTCTAGTCCATAGTCTAGTCTATAGTCCAGTCTATAGTCTAGTCTATAGTATAGTCTAGTCTATAGTCTATTCTATAGTCTAGTCTATAGTCTAGTCTATAGTCTAGTCTATAGTCTAGTCTATAGTCTAGTCTATAGACTAGTCTATAGTCTAGTCTATAGTCTAGTCTATAGTCTAGTCTATAGTCTAGTCTATAGTCTAGTCTATAGTCTAGTCTATAGTCTAGTCTATAGTCTAGTCTATAGTCTAGTCTATAGTCTAGTCTATAGTCTAGTCTATAGTCTAGTCTATAGTCTAGTCTATAATCTAGTCTATAGTCTAGTCTATAGTCTAGTCTATAGTCCAGTCTATAGTCCAGTCTATAGTCTAGTCTATAGTCTAGTCTGTAGTCTAGTCTATAGTCTAGTTTATAGTCCAGTCTATAGTCTAGTCTATAGTCTAGTCTATAGTCTAGTCTATAGTCTAGTCTATAGTCTAGTCTATAGTCTAGTCTATAGTCTAGTCTATAGTCCAGTCTATAGCATAGTCTATAGTTCAGTTTATAGTCTAGTCTATAGTCTAATCTATAATCTAGTCTATAGTCTAGTCCATAGTCTAGTCCATAGTCTAGTCTATAGTCTAGTCTATAGTCTAGTCTATAGTCTAGTCTATAGTCTAGTCTATAGTCTAGTCTATAGTCTAGTCTATAGTCTAGTCTATAGTCTAGTCTATAGTCTAGCCTATACTCTAGTCTATAGTCTAGTCTATAGTCTAGTCTATAGTCTAGTCTATAGTCTAGTCTATAGTCTAGTCTATAGTCTAGTCTATAGTCTATTCTATAGTCTAGTCTATAGTCTAGTCTATAGTCTAGTCTATAGTCTAGTCTATAGTCTAGTCTATAGTCTAGTCTATTTTCTAGTTTATAGTCCAGTCTATAGTCTAGTCTATAGTCTAGTCTATCGTCTAGTCCATAGTCTAGTCTATAGTCCAGTCTATAGTCCAGTCTATAGTCTAGTCTATAGTCTAGTCCATAGTCTAGTCCATAGTCTAGTCCATAGTCTAGTCTATAGTCTAGTTTATAGTCTAGTCTATAATCTAGTCTAAAGTCTAGTCTATAGTCTAGTCTATAGTCTAGTCTATAGTCTAGTCTATAGTCTAGTCTAAAGTCTAGTTTATAGTCTAGTCTATATTCTAGTCTATAGTCTAGTCTATAGTCTAGTCTATAGTCTAGTCTATAGTCTAGTCTATAGTCTAGTCTATAGTCTAGTCTATAGTCTAGTCTATAGTCTAGTCTATAGTCTAGTCTATATTCTAGTCTATAGTCTAGTCCATAGTCTAGTCTATAGTCTAGTCTATAGTCTAGTCTATAGTCTAGTCTATAGTCTAGTCTATAGTCTAGTCTATAGTCTAGTCTATAGTCTAATCTATAGTCCAGTCTATAGTCTAGTCTATAGTCTAGTCTATAGTCTAGTCTATTGTCTAGTCTATAGTCTAGTATAATCTATAGACTAGTCTCTAGTCTATTGTCTAGTCTATAGTCTTTTCTATAGACTAGTCTATAATCTAGTCTATTATCAAGTCTATTGTTTATAGACTAGATGTTGTTTGTTTTATTTAATTGTAATTAATCAACCTCTTACTCCTCTTATCCTCTCCATGTTGAAAAGTTTCAAGTTTGTGTCCTAAGTCTTTTGTTTCTATTTTAAAATAAAACTACTTTTTAATTTAAGCCAAATTTCAACCGTTTCCTTACTTTTAACACGCACTGTAGCAATACGTTTTTGTCTCATGTCATCGTATCTTTTCTCCCTAATAAAAACACATTCATATTTATAGATTTTTGCCAGTCTTGTTTTATTTTTTCATGAGTACAACCAAACAATATCACATTACAAATTTCTCTAGCAAACTCTCTCATTCACAACCAAAATGACAGCATAAGCAAAAACATCGAAAATAAAAATTTTAAATTCAAATGCGAGTATCAGAAAACAAACAGAAACTATTTATGTATTTAATATTTGTTAAAATAAACACCATTAGTTCAGGCTTACAACACATCACACACAACATGACAGATAGACGACGTAAAACACACACATAGAAAACGATATGAAAATAAATTGACAGCATCTTTGGGATATTTGTCTACTTTTCTCTCTAGTTATATGTGTTTTTTTATCAACGTCAAAGCAATAATATAAATGTTAATCTAGCGTTAAATTTACGCTGAATATTTTATAAGTTTCGACATTAAAATAGCGTTTCAAATTACACACAAACACATCAAAAATTTCAATATAAAAAAAATTAATTAAAAAAGAGGAAAAAAACTTTAAAATCTATTTTTTTCTCAAAACTCACCAAATAAATATTCTTTATCGCTGGTAGCGGTCGTTGCGACTGCCGTATAATACGTATTGGCATCATAATTGTTGTGGTATGATGATGAAGATGCTGATGATGTGTTGCAGGTGATGTCATTGTTGGAGGAGGAGACGGCGGCGGGTGTTGTTGGCGAACGATTTGGAGGATTTTCTATTGTATTATTGCTGCTAATATTATCGGTGGGTGTTGTATGCGTTAAGGTGGTGTTGTTGGATGCTGCCGTTGAACCCACCACCAATACCGTGGGTTGTGCTGTATCATAGGTATTTGCTGATGCTGTAGTTGGTGTTGTTGCTGTTGTATGTTCATGATTTGTAGCATGTTGCCATTGATCATTTAAATGATTTGTATTTGTTGTACTATTTGTATTACTAGTTGTACTGCTACTACTATTGTTATTATTACTACTGCTATTGTTGTTGTTGTTGCTGCTGGTATTGTTGTTGTTGTTACTACTGCTGTTGTTATTGCTATTACTACTATTGCTATTATTACTGCTATTGCTAAGTTGTGTAGTTAATTGTTGATGTTGAAAATTGCTGCTATTGTTGTTGTTGGTTTGGTGATACTGCTGATACTGTTGCTGCTGCGATGGCGATAAATGCTGCAAATGATGATGGTGATGATGATGCAAATGATGATGATGGTGATTGCCTGCTCCAGCAGTTGCTGTTAAAACTTCCAATTCTACATCTGGTTCTATTTTATGCAAACGACCCATCAGCTCATGCCGATAGTCTAATTCGGGAGACTAGAAATGGAAGAGAAAAAAGGTTTTTCATAAAGATTTTGGTTAAATATTATACATAAGTACTAGTTTTTCCTGTTTGATAGGCAAATACTCTTAATGTTCTTTTGCAAATTTAAAATTAACTTATTTTCTTTATTTTGTTGTTTGCTTGTAAAAAAATCAAAAGCTGAACTTTATGTTAAGTGTTACTTTTAACACTTTTTTCCGCAAATGCAATTTTATAGGCTGCAGTCATTAAATTTAAGTAGATTTACAAATATAGTGAATGACAAAAGCAGAAAAACTTGATTGAAAGTTTTCTACAAAAAATATAGAAAGTGGGAAGATGGGAAGAGTTTTTATAGGAAATTGTTCGATGAAAAGAGTTTTTTATAGATAATTGTTCGATAGGAAAAGTTTTCTATAGAAAACTGTTCGAGGGGAAAAGTTTTCTAAAGAAAATTGTTCGGTAAGAAGAGTTTTCTATTGAAAATTGTTCGGTGGGAAGAGTTTTCTATAGAAAACTGTTCAAGAGGAAAAGTTTTCTGTAAAAAATTGTTCGATGGGAAAAGTTTTCTATAGAAAACTGTTAGATGGAAAGAGTTTTCTGTAGAAAACTGTAAGATGGAAAGAGTTTTCTGTAGAAAACTGTTAGATGGGAAGAGTTTTCTATAAAAAATTGTTAGATGGGAAGAGTTTTCTATAGCAAATTGTTCGGTGGGAAGAGTTTTCATTTTTCGGTGGGAAGAGTTTTCTATAGAACATTTTTCGGTGGGAAGAATTCTCTATAGAAAATTGTTCGTTGGGAAAAGTTTTCTAAAGAAGATTGTTCGGTGGGTAGAGTTTACTATAGAAAATTGTTCGGTGGGAAGAGTTTTCTATAGAAAATTGTTCGGTGGGAAGAGTTTTCAATAGTAAATTTTTCGACGAGAAAAGCTTTCAATAGAAAATTGTGTGATGGGAAGAGTTTTATGTAGATGTTCGATGGGAGGAGTTTTTTTATAGAAAAATTATCTATGGGAAGAGTTTTCTATAGATGGGAAGAGTTTTCTATAGAAAATTATTTGATGGGAAGAGTTTTCTAATGAAAATTATTCGAAGAGAAGAGTTTTTTATAGAAAAATTATCTTTGGGAATAGTTTTCTACAAAAAATTGTTTGATGGGAAGAGTTTTTTATAGAAAATCGTTCAATGGGAAAAGTTTTCTATAAAAAATTGTTCGATGGAAAGAGTTTTCTATAGAAAAGTGTTCGATGGGAGGAGTTTTCTATAGAAAATTTGTTCGATTGGAAGAGCTTTTTATAGAAAATTTTTCTATGGTTTGCGGGAGAAAAGTTTTCCGTATAATGTTTTGAAAGTAAATATTATTTTATGAAAAACTTCCGAGGAAATTTTTTCTTTAAAAAGCTTATAAAGAAAAGGACTTTTGTATAGAAAAACATTCAAAGTGAAGAGTTCTTTATGGAAACCTATCGGAAGCAAAAGTTTTGTAAAGCAAAGCTTTTAAGAGAAAGTGTTTTCAATGGGAAAACTGAGTGAAAAAAATTTTTGTTGAACGTAATAGTTCTCTATAGAAAAGCATTCAATGGAAACATTTTGAGGGAAGTTGTTGTATATAATTCGAAGAACTTTCTATACTAAAATACTTAATGAAAATATCCTATTAAGTTGTTTTGTGAGCTAATAAGCTTTGAATAGGAAAATAAGATTTCGCAACAATATTTTGCAACTTTTTATTGTTTCGTGTTTGACTGTAAACTATAAATGTTTACTTAACGTAAACCTTTCTTTGTATCTTAACAAGAACATTAAAGAAGCCTATTGGAAATATTGACCGAAAGTCATAGACTTTGAGGTTGATAATTAAAGAAAAATCCTAAAATGAACAATTTTCATCGTGGTTCTATTAAAAATATAACTTAAAGTTCTCTAGTGGGTTTAAGCTTTAACTATACATACGTTGCTGGTATTTGAGTAAAATTTTCCTTCTTATTCTTTCACATACAACTGTATGAAATCTTATGTTTATGTTATTTTTATTATAATTACTTTGTGCGTGTGTGTATGTGGGTAAATTTGTATGATAACTTTTACCTTAATTTCCCAAATACTATACTCTAATAGTATTTGACAGTCTCTACATGTTTGTCTGTCAGTCAGTTAGTCCGTCCATCCATCCAACTGTCTTTATAACTTTAAGCTGTTTAGTATCTGCCAGACACATTTAAATGATAAAGACCAAATAGACATTTATGTTGTTATAATTTATGGTGTAATTTACAAATATTTAAACAACAATTTTAGAAAAAAAAATATTTTCACAGCTCAAAGACTTTTCAAGATTTTCACAAATATTATTATTATTATTATTATGAACGCATTAAAGTGTTGTTTTCTTTTACTATTTTGTTTAAATGTTTATAATCAAATGTTAAATGTAAAGATTATTAGAGATTTAAAAAACACAAATTATTTCCTTATAATGATATAAATTGTATTATTTATGTAAAACATCAGTTTTATTAATAATTCCCTTTAGAAGTACCATGAGGTAATAAAATCTGTTATTAGAAATTTCTACTCTCTGTTAGGGGTTTATGTTAAGTATTTGTGGGTTTATGTTTGTGTTTTATTACCTTATGATTGCTAATAAAATTGAAATAATTTTCCACTTCTTTGGCGTCATTATAGGTTTTTTTTTGTGAAATTTGTGTCAAATTTTTTTTTGTCATAAAATCATAAAAAAGTTTTAAGACAATAAACTTGAAATAATCAATTTATTCATATTTATTTTTAAACTGTTTATTTATGTGATGAATTTAATTAAATTTAATGGATATGGTAATATTAAAAAATTTAACAAAATATTTAGTTAACAAGAATTTTAAATCACCTACACTAAAATGTTAAAACAGAAAATTAACAAAAATGTTTATTGATATAGATTTTAAAACAATTCTTCAAACTCTAGCCTAGGAATAGAGATGTTAAGCTCAGTTTAAACTTAAACTTAAAAAACCTTAACTTATGATTATGTTTCAAACTTAAAGAAAAACTTAATATACCCTCTCCTACTCTAGCTTACTATGGTCAATCACCTACAGCTCTCAAATAAACATAAATTTGTTTATGAAACTCTATTGTTGTTTCCAATACAACAACAACAACACAACACACATAAATAAACAAAGTTAATAAACTTGGCTAATTTACAGAACAACAACAACAACAGAAAACCAAATTGTTAATAATACAAATTCAAATAATTGAAATTTTATAAAGAAAAACAACAAAAAAATCACAAGAAAAACTTTAACTTGCACTTGTTTTGCAAAATCACGCAAATGACCTCATAAGCATGCGTAACACGTGAATCGTTCATAGAACCAATCAAGAATTTTAAATACTTCCATAAAAATTAAAAGCTAAACGTTTTTTTTTTCGTTTCGAAGACGACCACGACGACGGTAATCAGTGACGATTTGTTTAACCAAGTTATATGAGAAAGAAATATTGTTGTTGGTATGTATGTGTGTGTGTTTGAGTATATGCTTACTTTGACTGTTTTATGTTTTATGGTCTTAAAGTTTAAACGAACACACACATTTCACTCACTCACTCATTACGTTTGTCCCTCTGTCAGTCACTTTTTTGTTAATACTTTAAACTGTTACTACTGCTTAAATAACTGAGTATTTTACTACATACAGGACTTGTTTAACGGTATGGATTTTCCCTCATTTTCCACAAAAAGCTTTTATTTGAGAGTAAACTTTTTGCTCAAAGAGTTTTTACATAGGAAACTTTTAACAACGAAAGGATTTGTATATCGAACATTTCAATAGAAAGCTTTTGAATACGAAAAGCTTTTTATACTTTAAAACTGACATACAGGACTTGTTTAAAGGTATGGACTTTTTCTCAATTTCCTCAAAAGGCTTTAATTTGAGAGTAAACTTTTTGCTCAAAGTGTTTTACAGAGAAAACTGTTTGTATATCAAACATTTCGATAGAAAGCTTTGAACACGGAGATCTTTTTATACTTTCACATTGGCAGTTTTTCTATCGAAACCCTATCACATTTACTGCTTCGCCAGAAAAAGCTTTCAGAAAAACTTTTATGTAAAAAACATTCACAAAAAAATCTAACACATTGAATGCTGTTCCCAACGTATAGTTTTGTGTATAAAACATTTTGATGGAAAGCTTATCAACTTCAAACTGAAAAGTTCTTTTTACTAAACCTTTTATACTGTGAGCTTTTCTATAGAAAGCTTTCCACACAGAAAGCTTTTCTATAAAAGTTTTTCCATAGAATATTTTGACAGAATACGAAAAGCTCTTTACATTTTCACACTAAAAGCTTTTCTTCAGAAAAACTTAAGCACTTTTCTAAAAAAACCTTTCAGAATGAAATATTTTATTTAAAAAATCTTTCCCATTGAATGCTGAATGCTGACAACAAGCTTTTGAACTTTATACTGAAAGCTTCTTTTAACAAAATATTTCACGCTGTGAGCTTTTATATAGAAATCATTTTACTCTGAACGATTTTCTATTAGAAACTTTTAAAACGTAAAGCTAGAAAAATAGAAAATATTTCATTGGGAAGAAATGAAACATCTTCTATAGAAAACTCTTCCCAATGAAACATTTTCTATAGAAAACTCTTCCCAATGAAACATTTTCTATAGAAAACTCTTCCCAATGAAAAATTTTCTATAGGAAACTCTTCTCAATGAAAGATGTTCTAAAAAAATTTTCTATAGAAAACTTTTCCCAATGAAAAATTCTCTTCCCAGTTAAAAATGTTCTATAGAAAGCTCTTCCTAATGAGAATTTTTCTATAGAAAACTCTTCCAAATAAAAATTTTTCTATAGAAAACTCTTCCCAATTAAAATTTTTCTATAGAAAACTCTTCCCAATGAAAATTTTTATATGGAAAACTCTTCTTAATGAAAATTTTTTATAGAAAACTCTTCCCATTGAAAAATTTTGTATAGAAAACTCTTCCCATTGA